ATTTTGATTTAAATTATCCTCAAAAAACATTTCCATTTCCTTTTTGGCCCTTGAAATATATTCTTTTTCATTTAAAATTTGAGAATTTAACGTCCACTTTCTCACTTTTTTTCATATCCCTTCCAAATTATTATTAATGCATTATGGTCGGCCCATGTGTTCGTAATAATCTCTATCTTATCTACCTCATTTCCTAATTCTCAGTTCATCCAGGCCATATCAGACAAGACCATGATTTATGGGGATTTGAGTAAAAAGTGTATTCCCATTTTTTTAGGATTTATGTTCCTCCATTGATCCACCAAATTTAATTTTCGCGTCATTTCAAAAAATGTGGTTTGTAATGTTTTCCTTTTCTTTGTAGCCAGATTCCCTGTATAGACTTTCCTTGGGTCCACCACTGCATTATAGTCACCTATAACACCTATATTATTATATTCTATTCCTTCAATTTTTTGTGTAATGTCCTGTAAAATTCTTTTTGGTTTTCATTTGGGGCATATATTATTACCAATATCATTAATTTTTGTCCAATCTGTAATTCAATTATCAAAATCCTTCCATATTCATCTGCATATTTTAGCTTTGTTTCTATAAAGGCTTTGTTTGCCTTTATATATACTGCTATCCCTCTTTGTTTGTTTTTTGCTAAGGTGGTATATAAGTTCCCTAGCCTGGGGAATTCTAAACAGTCCCCAGGTTGATCTTTTATATGTACTTCCTGTAGGCAAACAATATCTAATTTTTCTTTGAGTAGCCTCTTTAAAACTTGATTTCTTTCCGTTTATATTTATAGATATTAGCCAATTTTCTTTATCCATTTTCTTATCGGTGATTTGGTCTCTGTCTTCTAGTTATTCTATAATCCCTTTGTGGTCTTGTCCTTAATTCTCTTCCTTCTGTTCCTTTTTGTTCCTGTCTTTTTGTACTCCCTCCTTCCTTCTCCACCTCTCTTATCTCTTGTGATTGATCTTCCTGACTCCTGGATTCCTATTCTTCCCTACTACTACTTTCTTCTTCCTCCCCTACTAATTGGTCACAGAATTCTCTCACTTAGTCCAACGTGTCTACTCTAATCTTCCTCTCCTGCCAGGATATCAGCATCCCCTTTGGCATCAGCCATCTGAACAATATATTTCTCTTATTTAGCTGTTGTGCTAAAAATCAATAGTCTCTCCTTATTTCTCTTACCTTTTTAGGAATTTGCTTTAATGTTTGAATTGCTTTGTCCTTGTACATAAGTGGTTCTTCCCTCGTAATTTTATATGTAATGTCCCACACTCTTTTCCTAGCAAACCTTACATGTACTTCTCATGGTAATTTGTGTTGTCTAGCATAGTTGGTATGTATGCGGTAGGTTTCATTTATCTCATAAACAATTTCCTGCCTATCCCTCTGCAAGGCTCCTGATATCAAGTCAGCCATAATTGTATCCAAATCCTTTTCCTCTACAATATTTTGGAACCACAAGTAGAAAGATGCCTTGTCCATCTCCAGATGGGAAATCTGCTCTTCCAATTCCCTATTTGCAGTCACCCATTTTTTGTCTACCAATTCTAACTTTTCCTCCATCTGCTGTGACCTAGTTTCCACCACTTTTATTCTTTGTTCATTTTTCTCCATTGTTTGTTGTATATTTTCTACCTTATAGTCCAGCTCATTAATATCCCTTTTCAAGTCAGCATGATTTTTGACATCATCTCCTGCATTTTTAACATTGTTTCCTGAATAGACAGTACTGTATTTTGCATAGTCTGTGCGTTCATCATTACAGCCTGCTTGCATTTGTACAACACACATTTTAGTAGTATATATTAGCTGGGCAAAACAGGGCATCAATTTTTGAACCAAACTACCTCAAGCATCTCTTGCAATTCTTTACTCCCTCCCCCATACAGTAGCAGATGCCTGACTGCCGGGAAGAGAAAGGAAGGGAAGGGAATATCAAACATATCTAAAATATAAGTAATACATACTCTAATAAGCTATCCTAAATCCAGGGGAGGAAATTCTGAGAGTTAAACAACAAAGGAGAGAAATTCAGAGAGAGGTTTTTGAGAAAACAGGGGCAAAACTAGATGATTGGGAAGAGAAGCAGAGGAATATACCAGAAAAAAAGGAATAAGCAAGAGAAAGGGTCAAAAAATGATAGTAAATGAGAGGCAAAGAAAGAAGAGATTAATAAATACTAAAAGGAGAGCAAGAGATGATGGTTAAAGAGGGGAAGGAGTCAAGATATATAGTTATTAATTTTGATAAAATGGGGAAAATGGGAAATTAATACTTATTATTAAAGATATGTAAATTGCTAACCAGAAGAAATACAAGTCTGGATATTTTAATTGGAATAAATATGGAATTAAGTTTTTATTATAAAACTACTATTCAAGATATGTAATTGCTAATGGGGTATATGTAAAATTAATATGATAGGGGGAAAAAAGTCATGTGGAATCTGTGGAGGAAAATATAGATATATACAAAGTATAGTAATAGACAAAAATATACGTATTGTTATTAGAATGTATAGCCTATTAAATGAATATAAGATGGAAAAATATGACCTATGTACTGTAATGAGATTAGAGAAGATCTTGTGTTAAAAATAAACAGTGCCACAATTAACATTAAAAGGGGATAAATATTGGATAATACAACTAAAGAAGAATATATGAATGATTACCTGAATGATAGAATTTGTTAAACTTTGCAAATATGACTATTAAGAGAATATGTATAATAAAAATGATATTAAAATATTGAGAATGATACAAAGTAATATATGAGAATATTGAATAATAAAAGCTGGTAACATGCAATAATATTAAATCAGATAAGAAAATTGATAATATGAATATGAAATTAGGGTCATGTTTGTTATTGAAATGTTAAATGACCTGGAACCACACTGTTCACCCAATGATATACGTAAAGAAATAAAAATAAAAATTTATTTAAAAAAAATTAGGCTGAAGTGTTCTACCCACTTATGTAAAAGTAAGTCTTATTAATGTGGAATGGAAAGGTGCCTGCTATTCCACAGATATGAATACTCAGAAAAATGAACTGCAGGTAATATGTCAGACATCTAGAGTTTTAGCATTCTTTCATCACAGCTGTTTACAGGCAGTCTGCTTTCGCCCTTTATCAGTTTTGCAAGCTGAACCAAAAAAAGATGAATGGGTTTTCAGTAGATTATATTATTTTTATTAAGAAAGTATTATAACTGTCTTTTATTTTTCTCTCTTCCTTCTTCCTGCTGTACTAACTGAAAGTGATGAAAAAATAGATGAATGTTGTATGGGCTTCTTTGTTCTCTGAAAACATAATGATCTTCTAATAATAACAATTTTAAATTGTTTAATTTACTCCCTATGGTAATTTGACCCTTAGAATTAGATTTGCTGCAATCATAGACATAGGTTAAACACTTTGGTTGTCTGAATGGCTGATATCTTCAATTCTGATCTTTTCTGTGGCTCTATACGTACTACTACAAGAATATAAGTACAGAATGCCTATATGTGACACCAATCAAAAGACAAACATCTGAATTGTCAGCTACTTTTTGAGCAGAAACAATTATTTTGATAATGTCTCAAATATTACTCAGCTCACAAAATAATAAACAATCCCAATTTTAACCATTTTTTTCTGTTGGCCTATTGTGATTTATTTGTGAAATTTCCAAAGAAAATAAGTTATACAAACAGTTGTATTCTGAGATAGGTAAAAATACCATTATGTATTAAACAGTAAACAGAAAAGGGTTTAGGACAAGAATGAATACTGAATGAAAGACAAATGTATTCACTTCTGCTTTTTCATTATATAACCAAGAATAATCTTGCTAATGAGTGCAGTCTGGCCACGTAGTAAAATACATATTATACCCTCCCACAATGTATATTAAAATTTATCAACATGATTTTTTGTAAGATAGTTTCCTCTCTATCATTTCTGGATGTAAAAGAAACAGAAGAAAAATACAATAACATACCTAATTTTTATAAAACATTTTGAATGCTTTACCACAAAAAAGGAAATAAAACATGTAATAAATGTTTTCTTAGTAAAACAATAGGACACCCTTTAAAAACCCTCTGCTACTAGGATTATGAAATTGAAAATAACACCATTTTAAAGTTTACACTAAATGATTATTTATGAGCAAAATTAACTCATCTGTTTTTGATACGTAAATTTTACAAATCTGTATATCCTTCAGGCTGATTTAAATATTTTCTACATTTGTTCAGGTGACAGTTCTGTACTTTGAACTGATGCAGTAGCTGGGTATTATACTGAATTTAAGATGTGGGAGGAAAGATGGACAATATATCGCAATTGGTATTTTGAAAATGGAATTATGATGGTTTTACACAAAAATGTAATTAAATTAAAGACAGCCCTTACCCCACTTAGTACAGAACATAGATGTTCAACTTTTTCCACAAATTATCCACCCCAGGAGAAAGAAGATGACATAATTCTTCCCTCAGGCTGAAAAGGCAGGTACTGAAAATTTCAGACACATTTTCTCATTTCCAGTGTTTATCTGCTGCTCTTCAGAATAATGCACTTCAGAATATGTGCAATGTCTTTCTCTCAACCCATGTAATGTTTACATTTTTGCAAGCTTGTGACTAAGTGACTAAACAAACACTAATCATTTTTATACAAAAGGAATGATCACAGCAAATACTTGTGTCTGAATGGAAGATGTGTAATTAGAGTGCTTGCTTTTTCTGATCAGTTTTTTTCATGCTCACTGTTTCATGTTCAAATATCCTGCATCATAAATTGACTCATTTCATGCAACTATATAAGTAGATCTGATTTCAAAGCTTATTTTCGATATGCTTTAAACTTTGCAAAACTGAACAGTTTTTTCTAACAGCAGCAATAACATTCCATCTTTAGCTTACTCCTGGAGTGGTCTCATGGCCAAGTAAGAATAATTGTATAAGGGCAACAATAGCTTTCTGTTTTTAGCCTACCTGGGGTGTTCAGCAGCCTTGACAGTTTACAGACATAGGAGATGAACTGTTCACAATACTCGGCGCTACCAGTGATGGCTGAGATTTGATCCATGGTGGCACTGTAATTAAGCTGTAACACAGCATGCTTCTCTGGTCGGTTGCTTACCACTGGAAAATGCTCTTGTAAGTCATGATTCACAGTAGTCCATACTTTGTCTTCTGCATGAAAAATGGATAAGAACATATTCAACAATTGAAGTTCTTGCTATGCCTTATTCAGTGACACATATTGAAATTAATCCTAGTAACTTTACTTCAACAACTTTCATTGACACAGGTAACCAAACCTCAGGCAGTGAACTGTCTTGTCATAAAATGGGTCAAAATTCACTTAACAAATCCCTCACATAAATTCTGGGCTCAATTGTGGTTGTAGGTTGAGGACTACCTGTACTTCACTTTTTTGTTTTTTGTATTGCACTGAGAAAAAAAGCAGCAAATATTGAGTACTATTGCCATACAGTAAAAACTTCTAAACTCTTAACCTGAAAACAATTGTTACCTAATCTTCAGTCAAGATATTCTTTAAAAAATATATATATTAAAAGTATTAGTTACAATAGCAAAAGAAAATAGACACTAAAAATAAATAAAAAATAGAAATTAAAAAGTGGTTTTTCCACCCTTATCATAAGAAATATAAACAATGTCACTATATTTTCACTTCTTTTTAATTATGTTGTACAAAATTCTTCATCTTCAACTCTTCACTATGGCAAAGTGAATTCTGAGAGCCCATCCAGCAGGCAGGATGGGTGGAGGCTGGGACATGCCAAGAGCCATTGGCCGATTACAGCTATGGGCAAGTAGACAGAACAGAGAGGTTTAGGCCAGTGGTAACTGAGCTCCCACTCCTGTTGGCCCCTGTACTTGCTGCCTCCTACACATACAAAAATAAGATATGCCCAAAAATAAGCCTGAGTGCTTATTTTCAGGCCCAAAAGAATCTTATATTTGGAGAAACAAATTAAACCCACTCCTCATTTGCTGCTGTTTTTCTGTAAGAACATTTCAGGCTGAGACTTCAGGGTATTTAAGTAAAGGACCTGATGATAGTTGGAGACTTTTTCTAAGATCTCAAGATTAGTGTTGGTTTTGTATACATAATTATTTGTTTTTTTAAAAGAAAATTACTGGACAACAAAGAAACTTTATTAGGTATAGCCTAGTAAATTAGGAAGGGGAGATTTGAAATTACAATTTCCTACCAGTGGAGGAATCTAGGGACATCTGCACTGATTATCAACAATGTCAAAATGGCGGGTTGCAATTGTACAATTGAAGCCTTGTTCCTCTTTAACATGTCTCACACAGATTATATGCACATAAAAAGAGGCAGGAGTTTGAACTCCTGGTCATGCACAGTTTTATTGCTATTGTCTATTATTGGAGGAATCTGTAATGAAACAATCCAAACAGATGAAGGTTTAGGCTCTAGTGAGCTCATCCAATAAAAAGAAATTCACCACTTCTCTTTGGAATCTTTCTCTTGGAAATTGTTCTGAGCAGTTGTTAATATTCTGATACAACTATTATTGCTCCCATGTTTTATTTCTTTCTTCACATATTTCACAGCCTTTGAAATTTCAGAATCCAACTTTGTTGTTAAATATTTCAGTGGTTCAGCAAGCAGGAGTACAAAATAGCAACTTCTTCTGCCTGTCTTTCCTGTCTGATTTAACTACTTTTAGGGGGAGAAATTATCTTTATTTCTTGAATGGAAATCTTGCCTTGCAGCTATGCATAGACTTGAAGCTGCATAAATCTTAAAGTTACATCTTGTAATGTGGGGTGGGGATAAGTGAGAAAATGAAAGGCTTGTCAATTTCCTATAACAGAGTTAGATTCAATTACAATCTTTATTATAGTCAGGAACCAGCACAAAACTATAACAGAGTTATAACAAATGTACTACATAAATATTTCTGGTTCTAGTGAAGATGATTCTTGTGGTTGTTGCATAGGCTTATGGAACTCTTGACCAAGCTATAGATCTCTACTGTCATAAATTTATTGGAATTGAACGCCTTATGAAACTTTCTTTCTTTACCCACAAATATGTGTTTTAGATAGAGAAGAAGATATGAATGCCAACTGTCCTAACTAATTAGGTTAGTTCTCTTCAGAGTTTAGAATGTTGTTCAGCTCAAATACTTGTATCTCACCACTGCTTGTAAATCTCAAATGTAATATTCCAATATTTCACCCTTATTCTATCCTTACTCTTAAGATTTATTTTTCTCATAATTGCTTGTTCAGTCATATAAAAATGTCAGGAGCTAACTGAACTCATATCAACTTATATGGTATAACGGTTCCCATTGTATGTTTTTAAAGCAAAATTAAGCAGATGGATCCACCATAGAAGCACAAGGCATCTTCTTTAATGAGCCAAAATTTGGCAGATACCTGGAGACTGCTGATTAACTTAGTCATCAGAAGACCTATTTCAAACACAAGGTGAATTTCAAAGAAGAGAATGTAAATTTAGTTATTTGCCAATATAGGTTCTTATGAGAAGTGGATCACTCTAAAAAAGCTGCAGAGAAAAGTATAATTTCCCTATTATCTATTTATTTAGATGAAACATATATGTGGACAAAATGCCACATATTTAGAATAGAAAGCTATTTTTTCTGGTACCCAATAGATCTCCAGATTTGCTCCACAAACATAATAGCCACAGTTATTCTTATAATATATATATATAATTTTTATGATTAAAATTTTAAGAAGTAATACCTGAAAAAAATTAACTTCTTGTATTGTATTAAAAATTTTATGTCTTTATAAAAAGACATAAAAATACAAAGCAACCAAATACATAACTAGAAAAACTGAAAGCAGCCTCTTTGTTATAAAAAAAAATCAACTTCCTTTTCCTTTACACTGATCATTACCTATATTAGTAAGATGTTAAGTAAGATGTTCTGACTTTGATTACAGACTAATTGCAAAATATTTTATGCTCACCTTGTCTTTTTATTTAGCAAACTGTCACGGACATTTTATGTGCTTATAGGAAATATCCTATGATAAAGTCCAAGATACAATTTCCTGAGTTTCAATCTAGTATTCAATCTATGAGTGAGCTACTTTGGTTGGCTCAAGGACTGTATCAAATTGAGGCTGCTCTCCAAAAAGGTTCAGCCTATTTACAAATGACTTTAGATATGTAAAGAGGCAAAGTGTGAACATATACTGGTATGATTTTGATAGCTACCAGGGCTACCAGTTTATACTTGATTTAATCTGATTTAATTGTGATAGAAATAAAGCACATGTCACCATAAAGACAGAATAAAATTAACAAGGATATTAGGCTGTTTAATAATTAAGTTGGAACACGTTGGTTTCTTGGAGCAAATATGCACTGTACATGTCACTATGTGAACAGGATGAAGGGTAAGTATTTGGTTGCAATACTGTAATTCTTCAGTCTTGATTTTTCAAATGCGAGCATTTCATTATCCCACCAAATAACCATTCCTGCATCACCAGAGAAAGAGTTTTGAAGAAGTGAGGATCATTGCTTGCCATATGTAATGTACACTTCCGTTTTGTCTACTTTGCATATGTGTGGAGTGCTGCACTTCTAATTTTCTCTTGCATTTGAAATCCTACAACATCTCAGATAAAAATGCAGAATTCTTAGCAGCATGGCATTTCCACCTAGCACTACACAGCAGAGATACAGACTTATATCCATTTAAGAATCATAAAAAGATTTGACCCACATCAACTAAATATAAAACAACAATTTCCCATCACAGAACAATAAACCAATGTCATTTTCTTAGCAACCTACTGAACCAACTGAACCAACTACAATTTGACAACTAAAGGAAGAAAATGATACCCTTCCAAAAACCTATCCCATTACACAGAAATTAACACAGGAAGTAATCAACATGTAGATAAGACAAAGACAGTACCTTATTAGCCAGTTTATTTATCAACAGGATACTGTGAAACAAATCCACAGAATTAACCAAATAAGAGTATATTTCTGATAGAAAAGCAATTAGCTTGAAGAAAATTGCAGTACAGTATATATTTTTATAACAGTATTTTTAAATTATACTGCAGTTTTGTAAAGTACAATGTAAACTTTAGTGGATCATTTTTCCAATACAGAAAACAAATTGAGGATCAATGCAAATAGCATTGTGGGAAAAACTGAGAATATTTTTTATGCTTTTGTGCACAATTTTTGAAAGCACAATAGAGATTGGGAAATTATGGGATCGAGAAGATTGCCAGAGTTTCTCAGGCTTAAAAATTTAAGGATCCAGGAACTGAGTAAAATGCATCATATAGTAGTTAAGAAGATATTTTCAGCTGTATCAAAAGGTTTGCATCAGCAGTACAATGTGTTTGTGTGTGTGTGTGTGTGTGTGTGTGTGTGTGTGTGTGTGTGTGTGT